TTGTAATAACAAAATTATTTAATTTATCTCTTGTAAAATAGCTTTTTTATCTCAATTTATTTTTTTATAAGTTACTTTTATTTTTTGCACTTTCACACTCTTAAAGGTTTAGTTGTTCCTTTCTGCCGCACCCAGGTGTAAGATTTTATAGAAGTTATACAAATAAAACTGTACAATCTAACTTAAATTGAACTGAAAAAACTAACAACGAAAGCAAATACTTTTATTTTAGATTTTTAAACATTGCCGTTTATCCTCCGATAATAACGTTGTAAGAATCATGTGATGGCTTGTTATACATTTTTTTCTCTCTAGTTTCAAATATTGTTGTTAAAAAATTCTTAACCTCGCTTGTTTTTGAGATACCGGCGGTGGATCTATTTACCCGGACATTTAAGCCCCGCTCTACTCTATAAACCTTTATGAATCGTTTGGGAAACTTATTCCAGATATGAATGTATTTTAACAAAAATAATAAAAATGGATTAAAATATATACAACAATTATCTCCCATCTCTCCTATTTTGCGCGAAAATCGCCCTAGCGTATGTGAAATTTTATGGGATTTCTCGGTTTCTTCACGGTATGTACATGAAAATACATGAAGGTGCAAAACGTGCGACTAAATGGCGATTCGCTTAAAAACGCTGCTGGGTATGTAAACGCAAGTAGAAATTTAATTGCTGCAAAATTTAATGATAATTGTTTCAATAATTGTAATGATGAGAAGATCATGTATATAATGATATTTAATGACACTGTCGATTTTAAACCAGTGGCAATTTGAAACAATTATCTCTCGGAAATAATAATTAAGAACTCGTTTTTAATTATTTTTGTATGTTTATAAAAACATAACACTTTATATTGAAATATGTTATTAGTATTCAATGAAAATATTAATAAACATTTTAAAACTTACTTTATTGTTTTAATGCCCTAGCTTAACAAGTTTTACTATCTCGAAATTGTCAAATACTTTATTTATAAGATATGGTTTGTTCTTTCATCTATATAACAAAATTTGCTCACACTCATAATAGTTTTAGGCACAAATTTTCTTTTAAGATTATCATAAAATGATTTTAATAAATATATATTATAAGAATATATATACTTCGAAGCCCTTTATACATACTTCACAATTTTAAGAGAAGCCTAATAATCGAAATCATTAATTTTTCTTTCATTTATTGTTGATGGGTATGTATTCAAAATCATGTAATGGCATTATATTCTTGTCCGCTATTGAGAATTGACTATTTAGCACGTAGCCTTCACATAAATCCATACAATCAGAATGTGCTTGGAATTTTTGTCAGGCTCGTAACAAATATTAATGCTTTCAATCATTCTTTGTCAAATCGCGATGTTTGTTATTAATGTCTTTTAAATAATAATTCTATAATATAACGCTCATAAATTCCTGCACTGCTGCACCTAACAGCTCTGGAGTCGCTTTTCATGTGACCGATGCAAAGACAAAAAAGTGTTAAAATATTCCACCGCCATGTTCGATTGAAACTTACGAATACTGCCGAAATGCCCAAGGCTATATCGACGTTCATCATGTGGACACTGCAGTAGTGTCTGAAAACGCATTCACATTAGTTTCCAGTGTCAGGAAACCGTTTGTCAAACTATTTATAAGTGTGCGTGCTAATTGGGTACATGATCAATCAGCTCATAATTTTTATGTATTTATACATGCTATAATGAATGCAGGTACTATCATCAATTATCCATAGCTGCATTAATAGTGATAGAGCTAAGATATATTTTACAAATATGTTTAGCATTCGATTGCTTATAATTTTTACAATTCTAAATGTTGTTCAAGATCTACAGTCCCTTGTCAAGATGCATGAAGAAATGAATCTTTAGTTATAAATTTCATGCTTCCTAATTCCGAATTTAGGTATTTAGATTTCATTCGGTTTCTTTTAAAAACCAACAAATATTGAATTCCTTAATAAACGTATTAAGGTTTCACAAATCAGCGGCAAACATTAATCAAATCGACGTCGCGTTTGACCATCAGGGTACCAATATATCGGCGAACGTGCGGCATCAATCGGCTGTGGCGGTCGACGTGAAGGGATCAAAGAACTCATGTGCTGCTATCAATCAGAACTGTTGCGGTCGGCAAGTGTGATGAATGTCCACTATCCGCGTTTTCTTCATCGGCCATCGTCCGACACCCGCGAATAAGCGCGATCTCTGAAGATTTCCCCTAGGGAGTAGTTCTATGCATCTGATATAACCGAAAATATGTTACAGATTGGCGATTGTCGACTGTCGCACATCGGGGAATTCATGCACTAATGGCCTCATTTTTCACAAGGACCGTCATCTCACCGATATACTTTTAGCACAAGAATCGATGATATTCACTTTCGAAAAATCCATTTTGCTTTTTGTGATTGTCATCATGGAATACACTGAATCCTGCATATATTATACCAATATATTTATAATAATAAAAGTCCGATACTAAATATCATGAAGTGTGATTTCAAATAACATCTTTTCATACGATCTTGAACGATCGCATTTTTTATTAATTTATATAATTGCTTAAGTGTAATATTATAGGTTATATATTCTTACTATCTCTTGAAGAGTATCAATAAATTTCAATAAATTGTATCCTACGGATATATTAAATTACTTTCATGAGGCAAAACTAAATATCATGTCGTGAGTAATAATAGCGTAATTAGATCTATAATAGTGTATGGTCGATTTGATTTATTTCTACTTGATATAGTTTAATACTCTGATTACATTGATAATACCAATGGTAAATAATGTTGCTTTGCACTTAATGTCACCTTTATCAGATTCATGATCTTAAGTAGATCTACATAAAAAAACACCAAGGCTACGTATTCACTGCACACGCTCACATTACATAAGTTCTTCTATTTATCTATCATTTGCAGCAATTTGCTTTTCATAACGACAAGCAAACACAGGTTGTGATGAACGTCCATCCTCAATGAGTCTTAATTCACATAAGATGCGCGATGTGTAAACAATCACGCGATAATTGCTTTAATCGGCCGGTCTTGCTTCTTGCAGATAGCGGCCTGTTGCGTTTGTCTCATTTTTGTGATGAACAAGCGACTGTCGATTGAATTGCTGGCGACACTGTTCTACAGAAGCATTAAAACTTGTCTATCAAACGAATTGGAAACTGCTTTGCGACAACTTAACGCTTTAATAATATTCCACGAACGTACCGAAGTAATAAAACGTGTAACGGAACTGCCTCGGGAGCCGCCGCCGCCGTCCTGGCTTGCTTAACCGCTGAGGGGTTACCGACGACCGTGGCATTTGCACGTCGTCCTCATCCATGAGAGAATCCCCCGAGAAACTCTTGATAAAGCATTTTTAAGCTCAAACCCATGTTCGTTATGATGAAAATTTCAAAAAGTAATTATTAAAGTGATAACGCAACACAATTGCGTTTACATTCAAACTTCTGAAAATTAAACGTCATGACAGTATCTAGAATACGTTGTTAATAATAGATTGACAACATAGAGAACTGTTGTTGTATTAAAATGAGTTCTATTGAAGTTTTTATATGAGTATATATGTTTACATATATTTTTAACAAACAATTAATAATATGAACGTGCGATAATCGCTTTCCACGCAGAACTTACGTCGTCTTACTCTAATTTATCAATCGGTCTATAGAACCATCTCATTCATTGAGCCTCATAGTCTAGTCACGTCCCATTGAGCTAGACTGCGTGGGTGTGTTAATGCTCTAAGATAGCGCTAAGGGGATTGTCACCGGGGACCCCGAAAAGACATTCCAATACGGATGAAACTGTATACACTACCTTTCGACGGATGGATGAATGCTTCACGATGGAGGGCTCCGATGTTATATTTTTTGCAACATGATACGTCATCACTTATCTGATCGTAATTTGATATAACCTACAGTCAGTTTTTTGGTGTTTCCGACTGACACAAATAACTGATGATTATGAAGCCTCTTTATTCTTGTACTAAATTGAACAAACAAAATTAATCCATGATTTGATGGTATTGTTTTTATTTAGTTTCACGATAATGTCAATCTTACGTAGTTACTCTACGCTATTTATTATTACACGCTTATAAAGGACAACTTAATGTCCATCCCCGTTGCTAGGATCCTAATTTTCTTATTGTTAGTTAAGGTTTGGCTTTTCGCGTTCTAATACACGACGAATATAAAATGAAGTCTATTGAGCTAAAAAACAGTCGCCAGCAATAAAAGTAAAATAAATTATTACGCTGTTAATGTCAGGCTGAGTTTATTTTGTTATGCTACGGTTACAGACTTTTATTGTCTGTTAGGTTATGTTCGTTAGATTGGATGAGCGCCGGAGTGAAAGCTTTCAAAAGTTATCTTGCCGTACAAACATTTTATGTGTGTTTGTTTTTGTTTGTATGTAACTATATAATCGTTTTACTATGTGAAGTTTATTTAAGCAACACAAACATAAAATTGCAATTGAATTAGATTTATGCTTCATATATCATTCTGTTAAAATTCATATTCAGAGAAACGGACTATGCGGCGAATGATGATATTTGGTAGGATATTCTGTCATTTATCAACGATTCAGTTTTGTGACAAGCAAATTGAAAAATAAAATGTGAAATATAGTTTTATATATTACGGTAGTAAACCGCACATGTTCTTGTAATATACAGTTTTCATTTCAAACACAATGTGCATAGACTTCTTCATTGTGTAATGCTACGTCCAGTATTTGAGGTTATCAAGATCACAAAAAGGAATATTAGGTCGCAAAAGATCACGTTGAAAGCCATTTGAAAGAAACGCGTAGGAATTTATTAGATAAAATCACTTATGAGTCATTTTATAATAAAAATTATTGTTTATCTTAGCAGCTTTATTGTTATTATTATATGACACATTCACTAGTTGAAAAAATTGAATTAATGTTTTTAAAATATATTTATTTCAGTTATTCAACCGAACAATAGTCAACCGAAAGAAAAACTGCACAAAACGAATACTCATAATGAGAGCCGTATCTATCAGGTGAATATTGCATATTTTTTTAAATTTGCGACTTAATATAGCTGCCTGTATATTGCGCAATATACATCTGTGAAAAATAGTTCAGAAAACGAGTGGTATAACTCTCTGCTGACAAAATCCTCTCAAAATATTTTAAAAATAGCTAGTTCATGTTTTAAAAAAATATCAAGTTTGTGCCGTTCGAATTTATACTTAATTTTTTTTCTTGTTTCAATTTACAATTCGCTATATAATTTTCATTCATAGATATGTGTGTATGTGTATGTGCGTGTGTGCGTACATGTGTCCGAATATTTTACCAAAAGTTTCATCGCAATGAGCAGAATGTTCGGTGTTATCACGTTCTACAAGCTATTGTCGTGCGTAATTTGGCTCGTACGCCATAAACTTTGAGATGCCATGCAGTGCACGAGCATGAACAAATCTCTGTTGTATTATTGCTTGGCGTAAAGTGCGCGCGATATTGCTTTGTGTCGCGGTCGCGTCGCTAATTACCGCTACAGCAGCCGCCGCGCTGCATTGCGCCGTTCAGAGTCGGGCGGCTTTACGGCACGCGGTCTCGTAAAAGCAGGCATGCGGATTACAGCCGATGATATTTATGTGCGGCGCTGCAGGGCCGAATCCCGCGTCGCGTAGCCGCCGCGGTTCCCGTCACAATCCGAGATCGGCTAATGACGGCGGTCAATGTTAAAAGCTTTATTCTCTACGATGAATAATAGCGCGCCAAAACGATTAATGTGCTTCAGTTCGATATCGCCGTTGAAGTGATTGGTTTGAACGCAAGCGCTTTTAAGCCCGCAGGTACTAAACGCCTTTGATACAAATGTAGATGTCACGATCTGCGAATCGAGACAAATGACAGAATTCCGGTTTCTTATTTACTCGTTCAATCAGGTGTAGCCGATTGAAAAAAGTTGACGGTGTCAATTTGATTAGTTATAGACTATGATAGAGTTCATTGATCAACAAAAGTATGTAGTATAATAATACAAAAATTTTACGATTATCAGTATTAAAAAATGTACTTAAGGCACTGCGCCTGAAGAAAAGTAGCTCAAATTTGTTATATAAACGAATAAAAACTAAATATTTGATTATTTTTTGTATAATTGGAATTTTATATAAATTTTGATTTTTTTTGAATTACACATGAAATAGGTGATTGATCAAGCGTAAATGTTTGAAGTGCCTATTGTGAATCTTATAAGTATTTTGAGAACTCTCAATTATTGGGTACCAAAAATTTATTGAATAAGATGTATGCATAACGGGGTTGGATATAACTCTTTCTCAATTATACAAATTCGAACTGAAATAAATACTACACGTAAATACAAACACAAGTTTAGGAAAAAATGATTAAAATGTTAAATGTAAAAAACCCATCCAAATAAAATAGTTGCACAACTGCTTGAGATGCCACATTCCAGGAGGCTCAAGCGTAAATCACCAATGGATAATATCCTAATCTAGCAAATTGTTTAATGGAACAATTTCTATATTTTTTAGAGTAATCATCGAAATATGTTAGTTAAGTTAATTTAATTTTTTTTTTGTAGTATTATTATATTATTTTATTATTTACTATTATTATATATTACTATTATTATTAGTTACTATTTTTATGTTATTATTTTTATTTATTCTTATTTAGTTTATTCCTTTTAGTTTATATATATATAAGCAATGCAGCTCATAGAATATAAGTACTGTTCTGATTGCTGTAAAATAATAAATGAATAAAAAAAAAAAAAAAATGTAAAAATATATACACAGATTCATTTTCAATTTCTTATATATTATATATATAAAATAACAAAGTACAACCTCCAAAGAAAATTAACAAATTTTATTGAATTTTTCTTACAGTTTTGTTTCAATTTTTTTAATTATGGTGAGAAATTAAAATATAATAACCATAAATAAATAATGTACAAAATGAATTTATTTCCCAGTTGTTCGCGCCAATCAAAGCATGCGGGTATATGCGAAATAGAAAACAAAAAATCATCAATCGATTTATTATAAAATTAAACTCAAATCATTCAACACGTAATAAAACCATATTAAAATTATTATAAATACGATGTAATTTATGTAATTAAAGTAAAATAAATATTACTTGTTACAAAATCAAAGTATTTACAATCGGTCCTTCGAAAAGCAAAATTCAATTCAATCAAGCAACACCCTAAAAAACACCAGTAATCAAATTAAATAATTTCGAATGAAAATTTAAATTGGTTTGTATTAACTCTTGTTATAATGCTCAAATATAAATCAATTTAAACAATTTTTGTCGATATTTCCTTCAAAATAAGCTCAAATATTAATCTTAATAAAGTTAAGGTACTTGGTTGTTGTTTATGACGTTCGCTCACAATCAGTAAATCGCGACTTTGAGACTATTGAACTGAAGTTTCTTGATTGCATATAGAAGGAAGTTTTGTTTGAGTTCATAATTGGTTCTATAGTAAATAGAAATACCTTAATATATACACAGGCCGGAGGGCTCACTTCAGTTTTATACGCGTTGGAAAACTGTATATAAATCTGAAATGATGTCTAACAATTTAGTGTAGAAGTATACAGTTTTAATTATTATTCTATTATTATTTTAATGACTTGTGATCAAATTGCAACGCATCAAATAATATTACTCAAAACTAATATATCTTGAATCATTTATTTAATATATAATATGTACACTCTTGTGAAACAAATTGTCTTGTTAATTTCAGTTATGTTTTTTTATGGTCTATTTAATAATCTTATATGAATTATTAAAAACGTTATATTTATTTATTTATTTATCAAAATAAACGCTAATTGGCTATGTACAGTAAATTTATAATATAACACTTACGATTACACTTATGATAAAATCATAAGTGTATTTATATATCGATAATAGAATATATAGGTCAATATATTAAAAGTAATGATATTTTTATTTTTTAGGCATTTAACATTGCAAATACACATATTTTGAAAATTATATAAAATTTTAACTATATGAATGTTACGCATTTAGTGCACTTTTAAAGGTTTCAAATAGCAGTGTGTCGGAACATGCTATAATATTTGTGAACGCAATATGGTAATTTATGCATACATTCCAGAATTAATTTTGAAGAAGAGTATTCATTGTATTTTATATAGGCGCATCAGACATAGTCATTACATTAAAATGTGATTCTATATGCGTTGAATTATTGCACTACTTTCATTTCCATTGTAAAGCTTACGAAAAAAACTAATGACCTGCAATGCAAATCGTCTGATATAAACAAACGTAACGGTATATTACAATAAGTTTGCATTATACAGTTATTAACTTCCCGTAGGGCAAGTTATAGTAATCGCAAAAAAATCAAAAATGAAAATTTTTATATATCTTTACATTTCAGAGGTTTCTGAACATTTTGGCATACCTTAGAAAAAATGGATGTATGTGTGTGTGTGTGTGTGTGTGTGTGTATGTGTGTGTGTATGTATGTATGTGTGTGTATGTATGTGCGGATACAAATTTTCGTCGACGATTTCGGGAACACGGATCAACCGATTTGAATAATTTAAAAAACATTCGATTCGTATTGATAAGGAGACGTGCTGATTAGTTTTTGGCAAAGGCAGGTCTAGCCGTTCCGAAGATATGGGGCAAAAAGTGCCAAAAACGGTACCTCAGCTTTTAAGAGAACGGAGCGTCCGATTTGAATAATTCAAAAAACATTTCACTTATATTGACAAGATGAAGAATCGATAAAATTTTCATGAAGGTAGGTCTAGCGGTTTCGGAGATATAGAGGAAAAAGTAAAAAAATGGGCCATTTGGCGGTCAAAAATGATCATTAGACATATGCACATCAAATTATCAGATATTTTATAGAGATTTTAACAATAATTATACATTTTGTTAACATTCCTATGGGTTCCGTACCAATGTTCATGCGTTAGACAGCGACGCGGCGCTTACGCGCTTTATATTTTGTCCCTATGCAGTTAAAGCAGTACGATTACTTTGAAAAGAAAGTTCAGATCTTCCACAATATGTCAAAATAAAGAAAAAAAATTTTTTTTTCAAAAAAAAAAATTTAAAAAAATTTAAAAAAAAAAATTTTTTTTTTCAAAAAAAAGTAATTTTTTGTCAAATTTATAGTTTCTCAAAAATCTCATTTTTTCAAAGTAAATTTTTTTCAAAAATGTTTTTGGTACGGGAAGTTCCAGCAATTTGCCTTAAGGCACGATGCCCTAATTGCCTTAAGACAGAATTCCACTTACAGCTAGTTCTTTATTTATTTGAGAATTTTAGTATATCCGACGATCGCTCGCCCACAGCTCTCATTAGTGTAAGCGTATGTAAACACGATTACTTTGATTTACATACATATCGGACATATCGCATTGCCATGTTGAAGTCAAACAAATTACATTTTGCCTCCATAAGTATAAGATACTGAATCAGTGACAAATCTACTGCTAGCAGTAACATTTTAGTTTGCCTAAAATGGAATAGAAAAAACCAAGATTTTTTACCCAGATATTATCCTACAACAAATAATATTAAAAACAAGTTTTGTTTTTTAAGATTTAATGTAAATATAGCAAATGATATAGAAAATTTATACATATATATTTATATATAGTAAATAAATTTCTTTATAGTAAAATAAAAAAAAATAGTTCACCGAAAATTGTCATTCCCATTTTGTCCATACTATAACTATTCAACTATTTAATAATATTTAATAAAATAAAATCCATAACATTTAAAAAATGAATCGATACTACACACAGCTAGAACATTTGATTATTAAAAAAAATCCTCGCGTATAGATAATAATCACATCATTCAAAATCATTTAATCCTCATCAAATAAGTAGTATATTTGTTGAATTGTCGCCTTTTAAGATCTAGATGCGATTTTATCTAGTTTCATTAGGGTCTTTGAAACAATTTTAGAAATCAATCTAACAGATATCATTAATGTTTATTTTAAA